TTCTTTCAAATTAGTTCTTTATAGTTTGGGTACTAATCTTTCATTGGTACCAAATTAACCATAGAAAAAGTAATACAAAAACTTATGAAGAAACTCGTTATATACTACAGCTATAAAAGAAAAAAAAATCGGCAAAGACTAATAATAATAATGATAATAATAATAATTATATATATATATATATATATATATAAATGAATATATTTAATCTGATAATTTTAAAGCAGACTAGAGTTATTACTACTAGTAGATACTCAATAAAAGAGTATGGAATAAAGTTGTGATCAAATGCTGCCAGAAAGATGGTAAAAAGTAGTGGCTAACGATGGGCAATATTTCTTACTAATTTTTGTAAAACCACCAAGAACATATCCAAGGCCCCAATATATATATATATATATATATTCACCAGATATTTCCGTCCGATGCCACATGGCTGGCTGAGCAGCACTTTCATTCTTATGAAGATGCAAAAAAAAAAAATGGATCGACACGCGGTTATCCTCAAAAGACGTGTCGTTTTTCCGACGTGAAATTCAAATGCTGCCAGAAAGATGGGAAAAATTAGTGGCTAGCGATGGACAATACTTTCAGCGACATGTTTCTTACTACTTTTTGTAAATAAAACATTATTTTTAATGAAAAATCAGCGAGAACTTATAAAAGGTTCTATCATTATTATTATTATTATTATTATTATTATTATTATTATTATTATTATTATTATTTCCTTTGATTTCTGGCGTTTACACATTTCTTTCCGGGTCCCGCTCAGGGACCTAAGGTTAGAAATGACATCATGACACTTTCCACTGACAAAAAAAAAATTACATAGATAAAGCCCTTCGTAAAGTGTGGGCTGTACTTGTCAGAACAATTTTCTGTATCTCCTTGAGGCATGGACTTCCAGGAATCCCTTCAATTAGTCTACTGCAATCTTTTCCAACCAGTCCTAGGGCTCCAACTACAACAGGGATTGTTGATGTTCCCATATGCCACATTTTCGAGATTTCTATTTCAAGGACGTTGTATTTTGACAGCTTTTTGCATATCTTAATTATTATTATTATTATTGAGTATGATAATATTATGCTAATAATGTGAAACTGAATTAGAAATATACAAAGTCCAATATATATATATCATGACACACAATCTGATAAACCGTATACAAGGAACATGCATCACGGCCAAATATCAGCAAATATTGTGTCAGGCTTAGATAAAAAAAAAATAAAAGGCATAATTATTTTTGTAGATTGAAATAATTTCAGTTCGGATAAGCCGTCTGCTCATAGAAATCTTGCTTGAGGGAGTCTCTAAATATCTACGTGTGACTGCCCAATTGCCTTAGATTTCAAACTTCAAAATAAAACTCTTTGACATCCGTACGTGATGATCCCTCACTAACCCTGCACGTGACTACAGATGTATCAACTCCTTCATCAGCTTTTCAGTGCTCTCATTATCATTGGCACAACCATAACATTCTTGTTGCACAACTTCCTAAGTTTCTAGGCGTGATCCTGATATTTTAACAGTTTTTAAAATTTCTTAAAAATTTTACAGTATGTCCCCCTAACACAATCAGATCCATTATATTGTAGATCATTTTTGATTCGTTCATGGCTATTACATCCGATTTTATTGTCAAAATTGTATGATCATTCTGGATCTTAAAGTTCCAAAGTATTGGGTTATTTTATTTTTCGAAAACAGCCGATGATTCTTACGAATATAATTTCATAAAAAAATTGAGCAATTTGTGTTATTATTATTACTGTTTTTATTTCCTTTGATTTCTGGCGTTTACACATTTCTTTCCGGGTCCCGCTCAGAGACCTAAGGTTAGAAATGGCATCATGACACTTTACACTGACAAAAAAAAGAACAAAAAAAAAACAAAAAAAAACAAACAAATACACATATTTTACATAGATAAAGCCCTTCATAAACTGTGGGCTGTATTGTGAGAATATTTTTTTGTATTTCTTTGAGGCATGGACTTCCAGGAATCCCTTCAATTAGTCTACTGGAATGTTTTCCAACCAACTCGAGGGCTCCAACTACAACAGGGATTGTTGATGTTCCCATATGCCACATTTTTGAGATTTCGATTTCAAGATCCTTGTATTTTGAAAGATTGTGAATATCTTCAAAGATACATTGCAGTCTTTAGGGACTGCCATATCAATAAGGAGACACTTTTATTATTATTATTATTATTATTAATATTATTATTATTATTATTATTTATTTCATTTTTAATTTCTGTTGGATCCCAAGCACAGACCTAAGGTTAGAAAAGAGATTAAATGAAGGAAGGAAAGTATAACGAAAAGCAGGAAGACAAAAAAGGAGAAAAAATGAGAGAAAATGGTAAAAAATGAAAAATAAAGGCTGAATATGAATGAATGGATGAGTGAACGAATGAAAGGAAAGGGAAAAAGGTGAAGACATAGAATGAAAGAGAGAAAAAGGAGAAGAACAATTCAGAGAATGAGAGAGAAAAAAAGATCAAATGAACGAATAAAAGGATAAAGAAAGAGAGGAAAATATGGCAGAAGAAGAAAGAAAGTGTCAAAAGAAAAACAAAAAGAAAGAAAAAGAAAGAAGCTACGAAATGGAGTAAAAAAGAATAAGGAAGGGGAAGAAGATAAAAGAGGAAAGAGAAAAATGAAAATGATAAATAAAAAATGGAGGAAAGAAGAAAAAAAGAAACTGAATGAAAGATAAAGAAAGAAAACAAAATAGAAGAAGAATAAAAAGAAGAAAGAACGACATTTAGTAACATGAGGCAAAGTCTAAAAGAGGGGAAAACAAACGAACAAATGGTTGAGAAAATCCCCAAACAATAGGAACCTATATGAAAAACGCTTGCTGGGTACAATGGGACAGACAGGCTTTGGCTCAGTTCAAGCTAATTTATAATCTTGCGTAATTAAAATCGTAAGAATATCCCCAAATGGACATGTCGTAGATTTGTCAACTGATAGTCGTCTGTCACTTTCATTTTCGCCGCTCGACGAAATCAGACAGGTCAAAAGGAAGAAACAGAAGGCCAAGAAGAAAATTGATTTGATGTTGGGTCTTCAATTATTGGATGCTTCCATATATATATATATATATATATATATATATATATATATATATATATATATATATATATATATATATATATATATATATATGCATGTATGTATATATGTGTTTGTGTATGTGTGTACATTTATATAAATTATAACTATCCGTATATATATATATATATATATATATATATATATATATATATCAAGGGCCGAACAATTCAAGGAAATAATTGCTATCGTAACTTTTTTAGTAAATATATCTTGGTGGGTTATTACCTAAAGAAAGAAAGAAAGAAAGAGGATTCTGGAAAGAAAAATGAAGTAAATAAAAAAAACAAAAAAACGGAAGCAAGGGAGAGACGAAGGGAATAGAAAAACAAATAATGGAGACTGTATAAAAGAGTTCAATGAAAAAATTAAGAAACAGGTAAGAAATAAAAATTTGGGAGATAGAAAGAAAAACATCTACGGAAGACAAGTAAGCAAAACACACACACACACATATATATATATATATATATATATATATGAGTGTGTGTGTCCGTTTGTATAGAGAGAAAGTTAGGGTGAGAGATAAATAAAGGAAGATAGACATAAATGAACGTGTTACATAGAAATGAACAAACTGGTATAGATAGATAGATAGATAGATAGATAGATAGATAGATAGATAGATCTGGAAAGAGTGGTATAAATAGATAGATAGATAGATAGATAGATAGATAGATAGATAGATAGATAGATAGATAGATAGATAGATCTTAACCGACCGAGATAGATACATACATACATCTGCAAAGAGTGGGATAGATAGATAGATAGATAGATAGATAGATAGATAGATAGATAGATAGATAGATACATCTGACTAGAGTGAGATAGATAGATAGATAGATAGATAGATAGATAGATAGATAGATAGATAGATAGATAGATAGATCTGCAAAGCGTGGTATAGAGAGATAGATACATAGATGCATATATACATCTGAACAGAGATAGATAGATAGATAGATAGATAGATAGATAGATAGATAGATAGATAGATAGATCTTCAAAGTGTGGGATAGATAGATAGATAGATAGATAGATAGATAGATAGATAGATAGATATGTTTAAAAGAATTCGATACATATTCCATATAATGAAAATAAATTTTAACGTTATAAAAATGCTACGAAATCTTAAAATGACTCTAATTTTAAAACTTTCACCGTCTCTTTAAATAATCCGACAAATAAAATATGTAAAAAGTGGGAAATGACCCTGAAACCATTTTCTTGTCGAATTTAAAAAGGAGGCCAAAAGAAAAGGTCGTGAGAGAATAAAGGGTGGGTGTCACGATTAAATTCAAACGGAAAAAGAAATGGTCCTGTAAAAAACGAGCATTTTGATTTATCTGTCCCAGTGTGATTGTTATCGGTTTTGGCCTTATCCACAGGCAAGGGCAACCTGTATTACGATTGGGGTTGCCACGTAAATAATTGAAACTAAATCGTACCTGAGTCGGTGGGTAAACAAACAAGAGATGTAAAAAACGAAGAAAATAATGTAAGAAATATATATAAAGAGAAAGAAAGTAATATGCAGAAAGAAAGAACAAAGAACAAGTAAAAACTCTTTCTAAGATAAACGAAGTTGGAAAGATTAAATGAAAGAGTAAATACGAGGAAGGAAAGGGTGCATGAGAAGAAAAAACAAAAAAAAGCTGAAAAACGATTTTCATTGATTTCGTTATGACGGTTGTAATAGAATAATAATTTTAAAATGTCGTTTGTCCATTGATCCGTGTGTTTTTTCTAGGCATGTCTCAATCTGTTCATGCCTACTTTTGTTTTTTTTATATATTTTATCGTTTTAATTTCTATATTTCTTTTATGATCCCAGTTGTTTTTACGTTTTCTGTCATAATGTCTCATTTTATTAAAATCTATCGATCTTCAGCGATCATTTCCTATCTATCTATCTATCTATCTATCTATCTATCTATCTATCTATCTATCTATCTTCGGATGTCTCTTCATATCTTCCGATGTCTGTTTATATCTACCTACCTCTTTCTCGCTCTCTCTCTCTCTCTCTCTCTCTCTCTCTATATATATATATATATATATATATATATATATATATATGTGGGGGGGTGAATTTCAGTCTTTTCAGCTCTATCTATTTATATCTATCTATCTAACTAGCTAGCTTCCTACCTACCTACATATCTATTTATCTATGTATCTATCTATCTACAGCGGTCTTTCCATATCTATCTTCAGATATCACTTCATATCACTTCATATCTATCTATCTTCAGATGTCTCTTCATATGTATCTATCTATATATCTATCTCTCACTATATATATATATATATATATATATATATATCATTCTTTTCAGCAGTATCTATTTATCTTAGCCTATTTATATCTATTTATCTACGTTCCTACCTACCTATATATATATATATATATATATATATATATATATATATATATATATATATATATATATATATATGCTCAAATGTAACAGTTCATAATAAATATTTATTGCTCTACTTCGTGTATTGATCCCTTTATTTAAATTAATGTTATGAACGTTAGAATTTATATTCTTTTTATTCTTTTACATTTATATATATATATATATATATATATATATATATATATATATATATATATACGTTTCATTAAATCGACTATCAAGGTATTGATTAAGCTTTTTCTTCAGTTTTTATTTCATTCTTACATGTTATATCTTTTCTGAACATAAACTTTGTAAAACTGCCAAATGTTCAATATACCCGAGCACTTTCGGCTATTCTATTAACAATTATCATGTTTTGTCTTTTGTTTTTTTTTTTTGTTTTGTTTTTTTTCATTTTTAATTGAATATGTAGGTTTTATATATGTGTATCTACAGTGATGGGAATATTATTTTGCAAGCACAGCGTTTCTGTTGCTTACTTTAGAAAATGTAATCTAATTTGGTTATCTATGAGGTCGGCTGGAAACCATTAGCATGGGAAATCCACTCGAAACGGGGTTCACTAATTACTACGTTTCCCATGTCGAAAACAATGTATTTGATACTAAACCTTAAATATGTGTCCGCTATGTAAACGTTATTTTTTTTATTTTAGCTAAAGAAACCAAAAACCTCAAAATTACATTTGAAAAAGACTGTATCCTTCACCTTTCCCATGAAATTAATCGATAAAAGAAACTTAATTTTACGAGTGAATATCCACGTGGAAATAAATAGATGACATAAATATTTTTGTAAGACAGTGCGAGAATTCAACGTCTCGTTCGTTAATCTTTAAAGAGATCAACAACGAGAAATCGACGCCAGTTGATAATGGTTATGATAATAGACGAAATCGCTCAGATATATAGAATATTTCGATACTTTTTTATACTTCATGTCAAGAAAAAGAAAATACTTATATGTATGTAAGAAAAACTGAAGAAAAGCTGAATCGAAGTGCTCTCAAACTAGTCTCTAAAGAAACATGTATAAAAAAGGGATTGCTGCCGAAGTACATAAAATATTTCTATCGCTGTCTATACCTATTTATCTGTCTCGATCACATCCTATTGCTTTCTTTCTTTCTTTCTTTCTTTCTTTCTTTCTATCTCGCAGTTTCTTCATATCTATCTATCTATCTATCTATCTATCTATCTATCTATCTATCTATCGGAGTCTTTTATGCATCTGTCTATTTATCTATATCACCGTCTTTTAATAACTCTATATATCTACCTGTCTCTATCGCAACCTATCAAATCTACATATCTATCTATCTATAAAGCAATCAATTCATATCTATCTATCAATCTATCTATCTATCGCAGTATATTCATATCTCTTTATCTATCTATATCGCAGTCTCGTCGTATCTATCTGTACCTCTCTCTCTCTCGCTGTCTCTCTCTCTCACTCTCTCTCTCTCTCTCTCTCTATATATATATATATATATATATATATATATATATTGCAGTCGGTTCATATCTAACTACGTACCTATCTACCTAGCTATCTTTCTCAGCATGCTCATATGTATCCGTATATCTATCTATAGCAGTCTTTTCATATCTATCTATCTATCTATCTATCTATCTATCTATTTCACGCTCTTTATGTCTACATCTCTGCCAACGTATCTATCTATCTCAGCCTCTTCATATCTATATATCTAGCTAGCTAGCTAGCTGGTAAGTTGAATATTGAGTATGAAAAATGTGAACAGACATAAATAGATAGATAGATAGATAGATAGATAGATAGATAGATAAAGAGAGAGAGATAGAGCGATAGAGAGATAGATTATGAACAAATCGAAATAGTCAGATAGATAGATAGAGATAGAGAGAGAGATAGATTATGAACAGATCGGGATAGATAGATAGAGAGAGAGAGAGAGAGAGAGAGAGAGAGAGAGAGAGAGAGAGAGATAGATAAAGAGAGAGAGATAGAGCAATAGAGAGATAGATTATGAACAGATCGAAATAGGCAGATAGATAGATAGATAGATAGATAGATAGATAGATAGATAGATACTGTGTTTCTGTTAACTGACATATTTAAGTCTTTAAATTAAGTCAAATTCGAAAAGTGACAGAGAGGGAGAGATAGAGAGAGAGAGATGGAGAGAGTGAGAGGGAGATACAGAGTGGGAGAGAATAAAACGAACGTCTGTTTATTGCAATTTGCCGTAGAAGAGGGAAAATCAGTCATAACAACATCAATAAGTCGTGTCCGTCTTTTCGCTCCTGTCACGAGTCGTGCGCTCTTCTGCCGGGTAGGGAACCTCCAGTCGTGACGATTTCAAACTTTTGTTTCACGCAAACACAGGCCGTGCCCGAGCGATGATTCGATCGCTCGAACATTTACACCAGAACTGCATGTGATTTCTCTAACCACTACTCTCGCAAATATATATATATTTTTACTGTTTCTTTTTGGTCTTAAATTTTAATTGTGAATTTTTTTTTACACGATTTTTTTTCAAGTTTTAAAAATGTTAAATGACAAACTGCTTTAGTTCTCAGGATTAATAGAATTTGAATATTTAAATTAGGAAAATTTAAATATCTAAATTAGGAAATGTCTCATGGAACAGGGACGGGGAGACACATACACGAGGTATGAATTGTCTAAATTACGCAAAAATGAAAATAACACTGACATCTCATTTTAACAGATATATTCACCCAAATTACACAAAAATATCTTCAAATACTTAAGAGTAAATTTATTCAATAAAATCACCATTGGCTTTAACCATGGCCTCCAGAAAACTTTGGAATTACCTGTAAGTCTTCAATCTCAGCATGTGGCACCTTTGGAAAGTGATGAAAACAATATCACGATTTGACCCAAGCCTTGTGACTTAAATTGGGTAGACGGAACCCTTGCTAGCACAAAATCAAGAGTCATCATGGCTGAGGGCTTGAGCGTGCAGTCCTTGTTCAAATTGTTGATCACACTAGATAACACCCTCTTTCCCAGAAACTCTAACTAAGGTCTGCTATCCATAGTTGCAGTATAAACCACAGTTGGGCTCTGTGGGTGTTTAGTAAACATAAATGTGCCTGAGCAAGCATCTGCAATTGGGATTGGCTAGCCGCCCTAGTAAACAGGTATCCTTGAATACAAGTGGCTAGCTATACATATATATATACATAGTTATATATTTCTATTTGGAGGTATGTAAATATGTCTATATTATTATTACCCTCCGTAAATAAATGGATTGCTCCATTATTATTACAGTACAGTATAAATATCAATATTTAAATTATGAAATCGTCACTTTTCAATCAGCATCTGACAACAGCATGATGAATGAAACTCAGTGTTGTGTTACCAGAGGAATAATATATATATATATATATATATATATATATATATATATATATATATATATATATATATATATATATATATATTATATAGCGCTTTTATTATACACTGAGCATTATTTTATTAGCACCAGTACTCAGTATGGTTTGATATTTTATATTCATATGCAGAGTGCTATGGATAAACTGTCATCAGAAAAATGAAAATAACATTTCATTTTAACAGATATATTTACCAAAATTACACAACACTATCTTGAAATACTAAAGAGTAAATTTATTTAATAAAATCACCATTGGCTTCAACCATGACCTCCAGACGACTTTGGAATCTCTTGCAACTCTACTGGACGGTCTCCTCGTTTAAGTTGGTAAATGCTGCTATAATCCTTGGCTTCAGTTCATCTTTAGAGTTACAAGGAATTTTGTTGGTCTCTCACTCAACTGCGCTCCACACATAATAATCAATGGCTTTTCAGTCTGTGGAGTTAAGTTGCAAGATATAAGAGGTGATGTAGTCGCAGAAATTGTTTGATAGTCATGACTAGGTTCTCCTACTTGTGCGGCTTGGTACAGATTCTTGTTGCCAGAAATAGGGTCTCCCAGCAGTCACCCTCTTGACCCAGGGCAGCACTAACTCCACAAGGCACTTGATGTAGTCCTTTGTGTTGAGTCTGAGGTTCTGTGGGAAGATGAATGAAGGTATAACGTTGCCATCACTATTGACCACTCCAAACATTTTCGTAATCACCATTAGACTCATCTGAATCTTTCCTCTGTATTGTACTCAGATTGACACCCAAAGTCTCTGAAATGTTCGTATTGGAGCTTAAGGCGGGAATGCTTAATTTAACAAATGGACAATTTTGCTTTTCCTCGAGTTGGACAATTTTACTGTTACACCTCGTATATAAGGGAGAAAGTGTAAAAGAGACAGACAGAATGAAGTGTAAATTGCCGTTTCGAATTTTCTGGTGGAGTGATCTGCGTCATGATGTCCTTTTTGTCACCGATAGTACCCAACTGGTCATACTAAACTGTGCAGTTGTCAAAAACAACCAACGCTTACTTATTCATGTCAAGATAAACTAGCGTTTAGATATGTCATTCAATAATCGTAAGAAACATGTCAGCGTCAAATGTATTATAGATGTAGCCAAGTATGATGAACCGATTTCTTGAAGTTATCAGAAATATATTAAAATATTTTTTTTTATATTCAGGAAGCTTTTTAAAGGGGCCAATAAGTAAGATTAAAAATGATTTATTAGGGAAATTTAAAAACAAATCGTTACCACTTTTCGGGAGTTAAGGGGAATGCATAAGGTTAGAATAAAAATATACTCGTGGGTATGTCTAGATTAACCAATTAAAAGTCAGATCTACGTTAAAATAGAAAAATAAAATCAGAGGGTGGAGGAGGGTGGGTTATTTTTCTCTATGACACTATAAACTGACGTGTCATACAACGATCGTAGGAAACATAGCAGCGAGAAATGTATTATAGATGTAGCCAAATATGATGTTCCGATTTGTTGAAGTAGACATAAAGTTATAAGAATTTTTTAAAATATTAAACATATATATATATATATATATATATATATATATATACTCAGGAAGCTTCTTAAAAGGGCCAGTAGGTAAAGTTAAAAATGTGGAACATCTATATACGATGCTAATTATACTAGGGGGTAAAACATGAGAATATTAAAGTTGAATAAATCAAATAAATATTGAGTGGATGAGTATATACAAATAAAATAATGGCTGGGTAATTGTAATACTTAATTATTTATGAAAAATTCTTTTAACTATATTTTAAGGTAAAAGATAAACAATGGCGTCATCACCAGGTTAATTCATTTCTTTGATTGAAGAGATCTTTATTGTTAGAAAGTCCAAGAAAATTTGGATTACAACTACACACAAAAGACAATGGTTAAATATCGGAGAACATAAGGAAAATTAATTTGTGGAAATAACCACACTTTGCCTGATGAAGGTCGGGAAGCCGGAAACACGTATAGCAAAAAAATATGGATATAAAGCTTAATATATATTTTAGAAATCCACATTTAACGTTTGCTTCTTTTATCTTTTTAAAATATACATTTTTCTCTCGTTGGAACAACTATAACCTCTTCCTCATATATATATATATATATATATATATATATATATATATATATATGAGTGTGTGTGTGTGTCTGTGTGCACGCGCGTGTGTGTTTGTGGTGACGAGTTAGACGCAATTCGTCGCAAAATTTGGCTCTAAAATTTGCCTTGTATAAATTACAATCTGCGATAATTATTTATCTCTTAATTAAATGTTCTAACAAAAATATTTAATTTTCTTAATATTTTTCACGTGTAAAATAAACCATTTCTAAGTATAAACTATACTTAAACCATGAACTAAGTATAGCTTTCCGCTTGTCTTTTCATATATTTCTATCCGTGCGTGTGTGTGTGTGCTTGTCAGTGTGAATATGTCTCTGTGAGTGCATCCTCGGATTAAACATTAGCTCATTGGTTACGTTAAGGATCTGCCATGTCTTTGAGAAGGCTGTAGCTACAGACAGACAAAAATAAAGATTTTGTAATAAAATTGATCAGAAATAATCTCAGACTAGTTCGCTATCATATACATAAGTGACGTTTACCGGCATTGATTTTACACATTATGGGCTGCAACTTACACATAAATAAATATATATATATATATATATATATATATATATATATATATATATATATATATATAATAAAAACTTAAACACTAGTACTCCATGGTCATAGTTTATTACGTTTGAATCGTAAATACGATCCAATTAATCAGACCTACAAATTCAAAAAGCTATATATTACTATTTCTTACTATTTTTGTTAAATAAGAAAACAAACACATACACACACGCATATATATATATGTATAAGTATACATATATATATATATATATATATAGAGAGAGAGAGAGAGAGAGAGAGAGAGAGAGAGAAAGAGAAAGAGCGAGAAAGAGATAGAGTGAAGGGGGGGGGGAGAGAGAAAATATTTTCCTTATTCTGTTTCCCAGTCATTGGATTTCGTTGAGAACCAGAACAGATGGAAATGCTATTATGCAAGATATTCCACTTAAAATCTTTTAAATTAGGCTTGATGTAAAAATCAGAGTCCTGTAGTAAACAGCTCTTTTTATGACTATGTATATTCTAAAACGGATGTGTTGGTCGCGTAAATGCTATCGACGGGCACAGTGGAATCTAGCGAGCCAAGATTACATTCTCGCTTCCTCCGTTGACTTCACCAGCACTCTCGAGAAAAAGCATGCAGC